GGAGCCGCACCTGGTGAGTCCCGCAGGTCCGGTCCTCGGCCCCCTCCCCAGACCAGGGTGGGACAGTGCTGCGGGGGGGTCTGTGCGGGCAGTGGCGGGAAGCAATTAGGGTGACAAATTGCTGGGGTGAGACGTCTGTCTGAGGGGTTGGGACAGAAGGCGAAATCAGTACTGGGACACCACCTGCAGTGGGGGAAGGTGCCCGCCCATAAAGCCTGGCCGCCGCCCAGTCCCCCACTTGCAGAGCGGGGTTGGGCCATCAGTCCCCACCTGTCGCTGCTGGTCCTGGCAGGGCGCTGCAGGCGAGGCGGCCAGCCGCCGGGCGAGAATCAAGGTCACCGCCTCCCTGCATGGGCCCTGGGCCACCGTTGTGTTCAGATATGGCTCAGATGGACAGACAGCGCGCCCCCACCCCTGTCCCAGGGCTGCAAGGGGGGCTGCGCCCAGTGTTGACAAATTCGGCCCACGCCTAGGGTGCGGACCCTCCTCCCTTAGCAGGAATCGCCTCTCCCTTAGGGCCACCTGAGGTACAGCCATTTCGTGAAAACAGCCCAGGGCCGCCCCTCTGGGGAATGTCGGCCTCCTCCTAGAAACGACTTTTTCTCACACCGCGCCCACAAGGCGGGTCCTGTAGCTTTCTGACACCAGGCTACTAGGTTTCCCACCCTGAAACCACCTCTCCCCCTGGTCACCTCCACTCCCCTCAATGCCCCACTGTCCCCCCTGACCTCCAGACCCTGTGTCCCCCTGCCATGCTCTGTTCCCACTGCAGACTCAACTTCTCTACTCCCAGGACCCTCACTCCCTGACCATCCTGGGGGCAACCTCGGAAGAGGAACTGGATGGGGGAGACCACACCAGGCTCAAGGTCACCACTGCATGGAACATGGTATACCCCAGCCACAGGCAGCATCGTACACCCAAGTGCACACACATGCATACACACGAGTGCACACACATACACTCACATACTTGTGCTCATACCAGCCACACTCACACACTCACAAAGAGCTGCACCCCCTCCCCCCAGGCCTCCTTCCTGAATCTCCTCATTGTTTGGGAACCTGAGCTGAGTGCTGGCTTCCTCTGCTCTCTGATCCCTGCCAGGCCCTACCCTGCCAAGTGCAGCCTGTCTCCAGCTGCCGCGTCAGGTCTGTGCCCACATGTCCCCTCCATCTTCTGACCTGTCCTGGTACAGGTACACGGTCCCAACCCACCTGGGGCTCAAACTGTAAGAGGCAGGCTGGGAGCAGGTATATTAGCCAAGACACCCATGCCCAGGGAGATGGGCCACAGGTCTTTGCATGCCAGCTTGGTGAGCTCATGACTCGGTGATGTTGATCGATCCTAGCTCAGGACAGTTGGTTCCGGATCTGGGGCCACGTGTCTCTCAGGGCCCCAAGGCGATTCTGGGAGATGTATAGCTCTCCTTCAGCCTTACCCACAGCTCAACCTTGTAATTCTTCCCTGGGGTTCACCATAGAGTCTGCTCATTACATCTACGTGCCTCTCAAAATCACAGTACTGGCTCACTGGGACACATGTCCCAAACAGCAGGGCCCCCTGCTCCCGGGCCACTGACCTGGACATCCTCACCCTAGGGGTCAAGGTCCTCTCCATCAGCTGGGCCCTCACCGGGCAGAGGTTTACCACCTGTGGCTCCTCATAAAGTCTGGGCCCCGGCTGCCCAGTCCCAAAGAGGCCCAGAGTCCATCCTGGGCTCTTGATGTCCTGCCAATCTCTTGAAGCCTTTGTTGTCTTTTCCCAGAGCCTGTATCCCTCACCGCAGCCCCTTAGCACTGTCCAGCCCATCTCAGGTGGCCAAGGCTGTGCCCTGGGTGCCTTCTACCTGGAACTGCCCTGCTCTGGTGGCTTCCTCCAGCCTCAAGCTCTCTGGACCTCCCTGCTGCCCACAAGACCCTTGTTGGCCAGCACTGGGGCCAGCACCAAAACCCCATATCTGGGTTCCCACACTCCTCCTCATGCCAGGAATGTCCATTACTGATGTTCATACCTGAAGTCCAAGCCAGGGACCAGCATGGGGGAAGGGAAGAGGCATAGGTAGGCGGCCTCAGCCGGTCTTCGAAGCTGAAGGGCCCCTGAGTCATCCTGAGTGGAGTGGAGCTGAGTGTGCGAGCACTGTGCATGCCAGCAAGGCTGCTCTCCATAGCCCCTCTGCATCTGAGTGGGGGGCCTTTGATCTGGAGGGCATCGGGTTGTGTGCTACACTATGTCCACCTGGGGCCTGAGACATCAAAGCTCTGCCTTATTACTGCCGTGCTGGCCCTGTCCCCCTGGCCCCACCCCTACACCCAGCGGCAGAGAACCAACCTTCTTCCCCTTGTCCAGGGCAGCCCCTTACTCGTCTGACCACAACTAATCAACCCCTATTTGGCTCATAACAGCACACACTCACACACACGCTTTCACGCTCACAAAGAGCTGTGCAGCCATCTGGGGTTCTGGGCCAGCTAGGCCGGTGAGCACACCATCTGGCCGGGGTAAGCACACCCCAGAATGTGTGTGAATACAGGTATGGACACTGTGGTGCAGGACCACAGACCCCAAGGCAGGGGGGTGCTCTATGGGGACGGAACCACAGTGGCCGCCACAGGCAAGAAGGGGAGAGAGACAAGGTGTGGGTCACGTCTGCCTCCTGCTTAATCCTTATGAGTGGATCTCCTGGGACCTAGAGCCAAGCTCTGCATGCTCTGGTCATTGGCCTGGCCTGACCCCACTCCATGTCTCAGTGCCCTTTTCTGAAAAATTCGAGCAAAAGACCGAACCCAGAGCTTGGTGCAGGAGAGCTGAGGACTGGGCCCAGGAAGAGCCATGAGGGAACGGGGAGACAAGCGGCAGTGAGGCCAGGGGCTTGTCTGTGGAACTGAAGGAGAGTGGCGAGGGCGGGCATGGGACAGAGACGTGTGTAACAGTGTCAGGAAGGTAAGCAGGACGTTCTTGGCAAAGAAACTGGTCAGACAACCTGTGAAAAGAGCAAGTGTTTGAGGGAAGTGATGGTTTGGGAGGAGGTGATTCCCAGACTGCACATAGCAGGGTGAAGACTATCCCCCTAAATTCATGTCCACCTGGTCCACATTTCCAAACATGACCTTACTTGGAAATAAGGTCTTTGCAGAGGTATTTCATTAAGGAATCTCAAGGTTAACTCCTCCTGGATTTAGCTCAGTCCAGTTGCCCCTGAATTGATTCCAACTCTTGACAGCCCCATGTGTACCGACAGAATTGCGCTTCACACGTTCTCTTGGCTGATTTTTTGCAAAAAGACCTCCAGACCTTTCTCTTCAAGTGCCTCTGGGTAGACCTGAAATTCCAACCTCTCAACTGGCCGTAAGCACATAACTGTTTGCACCATTCAGAAACTCCCCTGGATTTAAGATGGGCCCTAAATCTAAAGCTTGGTATCTTTACAAGAGAAAGGAAGGGTGCTTGGGGCATGTGACTACCACCTACAGATGGCTGTAAAGAGTGGAGCGATGCTTCCAAGGAATGCCAAAGAGTGTCAGTAACCACCAGAAAGTGGAAGAGAGGCATGAAACAGATTCTGCTTCAGAGCTTCTACATGTAACCAACGTGGCCACCACCTTGATTTCAGACTTTTGGATTCCGGAACTATAAGAGAGTAAATTTGTGTTGCTTAAAGTCACCTAATTTGTGGTCATTTATTACAGCAGCCATAGGAAACTCATGCAGATTTTGGTACTGTGTGTGGGGTGCTTTAAAAAAAAATACTTAAAAATGTAGAAGTGGCTTTGGAATTAAGTCATTCATAGAGGCCTAGAAAAGGCTTAGGTTGCCTCGGAGATAGTGATGGCGCAAATATGGAAGTTAACGGTGAGATCTTAGAAATGAGGAGTGTGTTACTGGCAACTGGAGGAGAGGCAATCCTTATTATAAAGTAAAAGAAAACTTGGCTGAAATGTATTCCATTGTTGGGTAGAAAGCAGACCTTTTAAATGATGAGCTGAGGTTTCTAACCAAAGTGGAGGTGGTGCTGTCTGCTTTCTAAGGTAAACTGTGGAAGAGCTGAGTTGAGGAAGGAGCTGCTGAGCCTAAGTAGTTCAAGATTAAGGAATTCTCTGCCTGTCCAGATGCTTTGCTCTGGAGAGACAGCCAAGGGCATGTCTGGGCAACCTGTTCCTAAAGAGCTCAAGTGTGTGAGTCACGGATCCTCTCAGCTGAATCCAGGACTAGAGGTGGGGTGTGAGGAGGGAAGGCATCTGAAAGCCTCTTGTCCAATCCCATAAATCCCTGTGACTGAGACAGTTATATCAGCAGAAACACTGCCAGTTTACACTGAGAGGGGCAGAAGCAGGATGCAATGAGAGAAGGCTGTCAGACTTCCAAACTTTTACCAATAAAACGTGGCTGCATAGAGGGCAGTGATGCTGCTGACCCAGAGGGCAAAGACAAGAGCCACAGAGGTCTTCTCCCAGGCCGTGAGACCTAATGGGCTTTGTCCTGCTGGATCTGAAGCTTGCTTAGAACTGGTGCCCCTTCTATTCCTTCTATTTCCTAGGGTGCGCAGGCACGTTCCAGGTGTGGCATGGTGGTTCAGGGTAGGGTGGGCTCGAGTACACAGCAGTGGAGGGCAGGCTGTGGGGCATGGAGAGGATGAGATGGACATGGCGGTGGAGCTATGCAGAGGAGCATGCTTCCTGGGACCTGCTGATGAGAGGGCACAGCGAGGCCCCGCGGGGCGTCTGGTTCAGGTTATGGAGCTGGGAGGAGGGGAGTGCTGGCTACTGAGAAGGTGCCGGGGTCTGTGGGGAGAGGTAGGGAGGCAGGTCCAGGTGGTGCTTCTTTGCAATAATCCTTGCCTGAGCCCAGAGCAGTTTGGAAGGTTGAGACTCTAGCCCCCAGCTGTGTATTCCCCAAGGATTGTCCATAGCCCTCTTGGGTCTCTCCAAGGTGCCTAACTGAGCCTTTTCATTCCTTACCAGGAGCGAACTTCTGGTGACTTCTGCAAAGTCTCAGGCACCATGAACGGCCATGCTACGCCTCCTTTGGACATCTTAATCACCAACAGCACCAAGGCAACCAGAGCCCACAAAACTGGGAAAGCCATGCAGGGAGCTGGTACCGCCTCAGTGCCCCAGGCGGAGGCAGCTCCGCCCACTAAAACCAAGAGCATTGCTGGGGTGTACGTGGAGACCTCTGGGCAGACCCTGAGTCTCTACGCAGCCATGAAGCAGGGCCTGCTGCCCTCTGGCCTTGGGCTGGCTCTGCTGGAGGCCCAGGCAGCCACTGGAGGTCTGGTGGACCCAGCCCAAGGCCAGATGCTCCCCGTTTCCGAGGCCCTGCGCCAAGGGCTGGTGGGTCTGGAGCTGAAGGAGAAGCTGCTGTCTGCTGAGCGTGCGGTCACTGGATACCCAGACCCCTATGGGGGTGGGAAGCTACCTCTCTTCCAGGCTATCGGGAAGGAGGTCGTGGACAAAGTGCTGGGAAGGAGCTGGCTGGAGGCTCAGCTGGCCACTGGGGGCCTGGTGGACCCCGCCAGGGGCGTGCGCGTGGCCCCGGAGCCCGCCTGCCAGCAGGGCCTCCTAGACCGGGAGATGTGGCACAGTCTGGAGGCACAGGAACCTGGGTTGGACACCGTGGGCTTCTGTGACCCCAACACGCTGGAGAAGCTGTCGTACCGGGCACTACTGGACAGATGCGTGGAGGCCTCCAGCACGGGGCTGCCCCTGCTGTCCTTGAAGACCACTTTCCGTACCCTGTGCGGCGCCGTCAGCGTAGCTGAGCTACTGGAGGCAGGGATCCTGGATGAGGAGACAGCCTGCAGCCTGAGGGAGGGCCAGCTAGCTGTGCCAGATGTGAGCGCCCGAGTGGACGTGAAGCGTTATCTGGAGGGCACCGGTGGTGTGGCGGGCGTGGTCTTGCTGCCCACCGGCTGCAAGAAAAGCTTCAGCCAGGCCGCCACCCAACACCTGCTTCCTCTGGGTGCTGCGCTACCACTCCTGGAGGCCCAAGCCGCCACCCGCACCCTGGTGGACCTGGCCACTGGCCGGCAGATGTGGGTGGATGAGGCCGTCCGGGCTGGCCTGGTTGGACCCGAGCTCCATGGTCAGCTACAGGTGGCAGAGCAGGCAGTGACGGGTTTCCCCGACCCCTTCAGTGGCTCGCGTGTCTCTGTGTTCCAGGCCATGAAGAAGGGGCTGGTGGATAAGCCACTGGCATGGAGACTGCTGGATGCCCAGCTGGCCACGGGGGGCCTGGTGTGCCCGGCCCGCAGGCTTAGGCTGCCCCTGGAGGCCGCTGTCCGCTTCGGCTGCCTGGACAATGAGACTCAACAGTACCTGTCAGAGAATGCCAGCTTCTCAGACCCCAGCACCCAGGACAGCGTCAGCTACGGGCAGCTGCTGGCCCGCTGTGTCACTGACCCGGAGACAGGCCTTGTTTTCCTGCCCCTCACAGGGGGCAGCAGTGCAAACGAGCCCCAGGGGTTGCAATTTATCGAGCACGGCACTCGGCAAGCCTTGAGCGCAGCCATGACCACCCTCTCGGTGGGGACGTTCGAGGGCCGGCCTACATCCCTCTGGGAACTGCTCTTCTCCGAGGCGGTCCCAGCGGAGCAGAGGGCTATGCTGGCCCAGCAACACAAGCAGGGGGTCCTGTCAACGAAGGCGCTGGCAGCCCAGCTGAAGGCTGCTGTTGAGCAGGCTGCCGCCACAGCCAAAGTCACCTTCAAGGGACTGAGGGAGGCTGTGACACCCGCAGAGCTGTTAGAGTCGGAGATCATCGGCCGCGACGTGTACGAGCAGCTGGAACGCGGACAGGCCTCAGCGCAGGACGTGGGCCGCCTAGACTCCGTGCAGCGCTACCTGCTGGGCACCGGGAGCATTGCAGGCCTGCTGAGGCCCGACTCCCAAGAACGGCTCAGCATCTATGAGGCCCGTAGCAAAGGGCTGCTGCGGCCCGGCACCGCCCTGGTGCTGCTGGAGGCCCAGGCCGCCACCGGCTTCATCATCGACCCGAAGGAGAACAAGAGGTACTCAGTGGAGGAGGCACTGAGGGCCGGTGTCATTGGGCCCGACGTATATGCCAAGCTGCTGTCGGCCGAGCGCGCCGTCACCGGCTACACCAACCCCTACACGGGCGAGCAGATCTCCCTGTTCCAGGCCATGCAGAGGGAGCTCATCGTGCGCGATCACGGTGTGCGTCTGCTGGAGGCTCAGATCGCCACGGGCGGCGTCATCGACCCCGTGCACAGCCACCGCGTGCCCGTGGAGGTGGCCTACCAGCGCGGCTACTTCGACCGGGCACTAAACCTGATCCTGTCAGACCCTAGCGATGACACCAAGGGCTTCTTCGACCCCAACACGCACGAGAACCTCACCTACCTGCAGCTGCTGGAGCGCTGCGTGCACGACCCCGACACCGGCTTGCGTCTCCTGCCGCTCAGCAACGCTCAGCCCCAGCTGGTGGATGGGGCCACACGGCAGGCCTTCCAGAGCCAGCTGCTGTCGGTGCAATACGGCCGCTTCCGGGGCCAAGGGGTGTCCCTCTGGGAGCTTGTCAACTCAGAGTACATCCGTGAGCAGCGGCGGCGGCAACTGCTCCAGCAATTCCGACTGCGCAAAGTAACACTGGAGCAGGTGAAGTCCTTGATACAGACAGAATCAAGGCGGTGGGCAGACCTCACACTGCCCACGCTGCGTGGCTGTGTCCCTGCCCACGAGCTCCTGGAAGCCGGTGTCATCGATGAGACACTTCTGGACCAAGTACTGTTGGGGGCCCTGAGCCCCGAGGCGTTGTTCCAAGTCGAGGCTGTACACACGTGCCTTCAGGGCTCGGGCTCCCTGGGTGGCGTTCTGCTACAACCCTCCAACCAGCGCCTCAGTCTCTACCAGGCCATGCAACAGAAGCTACTTGGCCCCGCTGTGGGGCTGGCCCTCCTGGAGGCCCAGGCGGCCACTGGGGCCCTGTTGGACCCCCACAGCCAAGAGGCCTTGACAGTGGATGAGGCTGTGCGCCGGGGACTAGTAGGTCCCGAGCTGTATGACCAGCTGCGACGGGCCGAGGATGCTGTCACCGGCTTCAGAGACCCCTTCTCTGGGAAGAGAGTGTCCGTCTTCCAGGCCATGAAGAAGGGCCTGGTCCCCACAGAACAGGCCACCCGCCTCCTGGAGGCTCAGATGGCCACAGGAGGGGTTGTGGACCCTGCTGGCTGCCACCACCTCCCCATGTCTGTGGCTGCTGAGCGTGGCTGCATTGATGGGGAGATGGAGAAGACACTGAGCGGTGACCCCCAGACCTTCCCAAGTCCCGACGGCCGAGGTCACACCAGCTACACCCGGCTCCTTGAGCAGTGTCCCCGAGATGAGGTCTCTGGCTTGTTGCTTCTACCACTGCCCGACAGTGCGCCCACATTGCCCACTGACAAGCAGGTCCAGGAAGCCCTGCAGGCCGCAAGGGGAACTGAGGACAGTCCATCCCTCTGGGACATGCTTAGCTCCTGCCACTTCACTGAGGAGCAGCGTCAAGGCTTCCTGGAGGACTTCCGGGTGGGCCGGCGCTCCGAGCAGCAGCTGCGCACAGACCTACAGAACTGGGTACGAGGGGCGGAGCTGCGGGCACGTGCTCAGGTCTCGTTGCCTGGGCCTCGGGGCCAGGTTCCTGCCGTGTGGCTGCTGGACGCTGGCATCATCTCCCAGAATACCCTGGAGGCGCTGGTCCAAGGCCAGCAGTCCCCTGATGAGGTGGCTGCACAAGCTGAGGTGAGGGCCTACCTATGGGGCACGGGCTGCGTGGCTGGTATACTGCTGCAGCCCTCCAAGGCCAAGGCCAGTATTGGCCGGGCCATGCAGGATGGCCTCCTGCCTGTGGGCCTAGGACAGAGGCTGCTGGAGGCCCAGGTGGCCTGTGGTACCCTGGTCAACCCTGTGAGCAACCAGCGGCTGTCAGTGGAGGATGCGGTGAAGGCCGGCCTGGTGGGCGGCGACCTGAGTGAACAGCTCCGGATGACAGAGAGGGCTGTGACCGGGTTCCCGGAGCCCTGCTCGGGCCGCACCCTTTCCTTGTGGCAGGCCATGGAACAGGGGCTCCTGTCCCGGGCCGAGGGGCTCCCCCTGTTGCAAGCACAGCTGGCCACTGGAGGCGCTATGGACCCTGTTTATCAAGTGCACCTGCCTCTTCCTGCCGCCTGCAAGCTTGGGCTCCTGGACAAGGCCACGGGCCAGGCGCTGAGCTCAACCAACAAGGATGTGAGGTTTTTCTTCGACCCCAGTGCCCGGGACAAGGTAACATACCAGGAGCTCAGAGCACGGTGTGTCCAGGATACTACCACCGGTCTGTGGCTACTGCCGCTCTCCCAGGACACGACTCTTGATGTGGATGAGCACACTGCAGTGGCACTGCGTGCTATGAAGGTGCCTGTGGACACAGGCAGGTTCAAGGGGCAAGCCGTGTCTCTGTGGGACCTGCTGCGCTCCGAGTACGTTGGTGCCGAGCGACGGAGGGAGCTGGCGGCACTCTGCCGGTCTGGTCGGGCTGTGGCACTGCGTGAGGTGGTCGACGCTGTCACAGCACTTGTGAAGGCAGCAGAGACACAGCCCTCACAGCCTGCCTTCCAGGGGCTCCGGAAGCAGGTCTCAGCGAGTGACCTGTTTCGGTCCCAGCTGATCGACAAAAAGACACTGGATGAGCTGAGTCAAGGGAAGAGGACGGTAGAGGAGGTAACGCAGATGGCCAGCGTTCAGCGTTTCCTGGAGGGAGGCAACTTCATTGCTGGTGTACGCATCCAGGCCACAGGGGAGATCATGAGCATCTCCGAGGCCCTTCGACGGCGCATCCTGCGACCCGGCACCGCTCTAGTGCTGCTGGAAGCCCAGGCTGCTATGGGCTTCGTCATTGATCCTGTGGAGAACCGAAAGCTGACTGTGGAGCAGGCATTCTTAGCAGGGATGTTCAGCAAAGAAACCTATGAGAAGCTGCTGTCGGCCGAGCGTGCCGTCACCGGCTACACTGACCCCTACACGGGTGAGCAGATCTCCCTGTTCCAGGCCATGCAGAAGGAGCTCATCGTGCGCGAGCACGGCGTGCGTCTGCTGGAGGCCCAGATCGCCACAGGTGGTGTCATCGACCCTGTGCACAGTCACCGCGTGCCCGTGGAGGTGGCCTACCAGCGCGGCTACTTCGATGAGGACATGAACCGCATTCTGGAGGACCCGGGCGACGACACCAAGGGCTTCTTCGACCCCAACACGCATGAGAATCTCACCTACCTGCAGCTGCTGGAGCGCTGCGTGCGCGACCCCGACACCGGGCTCTACATGCTACAGATCGTCGAGAAAGGAGAAACTTACATGTACATCGATGAGGTCACCAGACAGCTTCTGAGATCACAGACCACCAAGATGCATGTGGGGCGGTTTGCAGGACAGATGATGTCCCTTTGGGACATATTGTCATCTGAGTACTTCACAGAGAAAAGGCGGCGAGAACTCGTCCAAGAATACAAAAGTAAAAAGCTGTCCCTGGACAGATTGGTGACGGTCATCACCACAACAGTCGAAGAAACTGAAAAGCACAACCAAGGCATCCAGGTGGCAGGGCCTCAAGGACCAGTATCAGCTGCAGAACTGTTCAACTCAGGCATCATCGATAAGAAAACACTAGACTCTCTGCAGAGGGACAAAGGTGACAAGCAGAGCCTCCAGGAGTTGGCACGTGTGACGAGCTTCCTAGAGGGCCAAGGTTGCATCGCGGGAGTGACCATGCCATCCACCAAGGAGATCATGGGTATCTATGAGGCCAGCAAGAAGGAGCTTGTCCCCACAGGGATCGCAGCACAACTGCTGGAGGCCCAGGCTGCCACGGGCTTCATGTTGGACTTGCGTGGACACCAAAAGCTCCCTGTAGAAGAGGCAGTGGTGTCTGGCCTGGTGGGTGCTGAATTACAGGAAAAACTTATGAAAGCAGAGCAGGCGGCCAAAGGCTACAGAGACCCAGCCACAGGTGCCCGACTCTCGCTGTACCAGGCCATGGAGCAGAAACTGATTCCTCGGGAGGATGCACTGAGGCTGCTGGAGGTACACGTAGCCACGGGTGGCATCATTGACCCTTCTCATGGCCACCGTGTACCCTTGGACACAGCCTACAGACGTGGCCTCCTGCACCCAGATATTTATGCACTTGTGTCAAACAAGAAACTCATGAAGAAACGCTTTCAGGATCCCAAGACATTGGAGAGTGTCACCTACACGGAGCTGCAGGCTCGCTGTTCCACAGAGAAGGAGACAGGCTGGCCATTGCTGCAATTGTCCCAGCACATGGAGGACTATGGGTACATAGATGAGGACACCAGGAAAGCACTTGAGGCTGAGTGGGTGGACATCACAGTGGGACAGTATAAAGGTCAGAGATTATCAGTATGGTACTTGTTAAACTCAGAATACCTGACAGAAGAAAAGAAGCAAGAGTTGGTAGCAAAGTACAAAAAGGACACTACGCATGCACTGGAAAAAGTGGTGAAGGCAATCTTAGACCTAATCAAAGAGAAAGAAGAGAAAAGCAAGGAACTGTGGTTCCAGGGTATTCGAAGGCAAATCAAAGCCTCTGAGCTGTATTCCTCAGACATAATTACCAAAGATACACTAGAGGCACTGGAGACAGGTCAGAGGACTGTGAATGAAATACAACACGAAGTCACAGTAAAGCGCTACCTGGAGGGCACCAGCTGCATCGCGGGCGTGCTGGTGCCCAGCAGGGACGCCACCGGCCGCCAAGAGAAGATGAGTATCTACCAGGCCATGTGGAAGGGCGTGCTGCGGCCCGGCACCGCCCTGGTACTACTGGAAGCCCAGGCCGCCACCGGCTTCGTCATCGACCCCGTGGACAACCGGCGCCTGTCGGTGGAGGAGGCCGTGGCCGCGGGCGTGGTGGGCGGCGAGGTGCGGGAGAAGCTGCTGTCGGCCGAGCGCGCCGTCACCGGCTACACCGACCCCTACACGGGCGAGCAGATCTCCCTGTTCCAGGCCATGCAGAGGGAGCTCATCGTGCGCGAGCACGGCGTGCGTCTGCTGGAGGCCCAGATCGCCACGGGCGGCGTCATCGACCCTGTGCACAGCCACCGCGTGCCCGTGGAGGTGGCCTACCAGCGCGGCTACTTCGACGAGGACATGAACCGCGTGCTGGAGGACCCGGGTGACGACACCAAGGGCTTCTTCGACCCCAACACACACGAGAACCTCACCTACCTGCAGCTGTTGGAGCGCTGCGTGCCAGACCCGGACACCGGGCTCTTATTTTTATCTCTCTCGAATGAAGATTAATATTTCCATCAATTTTATTGGTTGTACGTTTTGTTAAATCATTTTTATTATATTTAAACTTTTCCATATTTCCACCTTTTCATTTTCCTTTCTTGAAATGTCTTGTAAGTTGTCATTTCATGTCCCACCTGGTCCGAAAATCAGAAATTCACTTCTTTTTCAAACTTCTATCTTCCAGCGTCTGTTTTGCAGCTCTCTGGGTTCTCCATGTCCCCTGGCCTGCGTTTCTACTCTGATATCTGTGGGTTGGATATAGGCCTTTCTTGATTTCTGCCTGTCCTTTTTTTGGTTTTCTCTGGTTTTAGTTCTTATAAAGTACATAAAACCTTGAATTCAGTGGTTTGAATATTTGTCTTTGTTATGTAACTGTCACTAGTGTGTTTCTTGCTCTTGTTAATCTCCCCACAGAGAAACCCAGGATCATTGACCTTAACTGTCCTGTCTTTCACTCCACTCCTGTGAACGTCTAATCTACTTTCTTTCTGTTGCAATTTGTCTTGTTAAATATTTCATGAAAATGAATTCCTACATGGATTTTTGTGCCTGACATTTTTTTTTTTGCATAATAGTTCATCTGTGTCATAGAATCTGTCCAAATTTTATTTCTCATTACAGCTGAACAGTATTTCCTTTTATGTTTTAACCCCATTGTTTATCCATTTACCTGTTGGTGGCCTAGTTTCAACTTTTGGTGGTTTTTGAATAGTACTGCAATTGACCCAGGTATGCAAATACTTTTTTATTTCTTGCTTGCAATTTTCTTGGACATATATGTGGGAGTGGGATTGCTGGGTCAGATGGTAACACTTTTTTATATTTTCAGGAACTGCCATGCGTCTTCCCTATCAGTTTTTTGTTTGTTTTCCTGTTTTATGACAATTTCAGCTGACAAAGTCTATAATACTCTGATTGCTTCTAGTTGGAGAACTTCTTCTTGGGCCTTGCTGATATCAGCATGAAGTGCATTTATGACTTTGTGTTTTTTTTCTCAGATGGTATTAAATTGCTATGAATTACAACACGTTTCCTGTGCTTTGGGAGTACCTCATTTTCTGTGCATCTATTTAGGTGGTCGTTGGTCCAGGTTTGACATCCATTTGCAGTGGCTTCAGGTCAAGTTCTGTGTGGTTGGAGGCCAAGGCCACAGCTAGAGTTTTCTCTCTTGGCTTTGGATTAGTTCTTGTAGGTGTTACCCTGACCTGGGTCTTCTATAGGAGGGACTGTGTGGTCAGATGCAGTGAAGAGGCTTAGGACTGCTAAGCAGGATTAAGCAGGCTGTTTGTCTCAAAGGGGCAGGTGTTTCAGGCAGGCCTTTCTGGGGAGGTGACCCTTGGATCAAGACTCCAAGACACCTGAGTGAAAAGCCTTCCACACAGGGCACGTGCAAAGGTCCTGGGACCATTGCTCACCATGCACAACACACTGCAGAGACCAGGTGAACTCAGCCAGAGAGAGGGTCACAGTGGGCTGGGATCAGACAACAGGGTCAGTTGTGGAAGTCTGTGGACGTGGCTTTCACGGTAAGTGAAAAGGACTATTGGAGACCTCAGTGGTCAAACAACCTGCTTCTGGAACGATTACTGAAGACTAGAGACTTGTGGGATGACATTAAGAGCATCAAACCAAAAGAAAGCAAAGGGCCATTAAGAAGACAAGAAAAAAGGAAAAGGCCAAAATGGATGTCAGAAGAGACTCTGAAACTTGCTCTCCAGCGTAGAGATGCTAAAGCAAATGGAAAAAGTGAGGAGGTACAAGACATGGAGAGAAAATTTCAAAGGACACCTTGAGAATACAAAGTCAAGTGTTAAAACGAAATTTGCAAAGACCTGGAATTAGAAAACCAAAAAGGAATAAAACACACTCAGCATTTCTCAAGCTGTATGAACTTAAGACAAAATTCAAGCCTCAACCTGAAATATTGAAGGTTGTGGCACTGTGGGATAAACAATAGAACCCAAGGTCAGTTTGAACCACAAGGTTGAAAGTTCAAACTCATCAGCAACAATTTGGACACTCTACACAGGGTTGCTATGAGTTGGAACTGACTCAATGGCACTTAACAACAACAACATGGGCAAAATATTGAATGATGCAGAAAGCATCAAAAGAAGATGGATAGAACACACACAGAATCACTGCACCAAAAAGAAACTGTTGGTGTTGAAACATTTCAAGAGCTAGCATATGATCAAAAACCAATGTCAGTGAAAGATGAAGTCCAAGGTGCATGGAAGGTATTGGAAAAGAACAAGGCTTTAAGAATTGATGGAATATAAACTGAAATCTTTCAACAAACTGATGTAGCACTGGAGGCACTCACTCATCTAAACCAAGAAATTTTGAACCTGGCCAACTGATTGGAAGAGATCCATATTTGTGCCCATTCCAAAGAGATGTGACCCAGCAGAACACAAAACTCATTGGACGATATCATTAATATCACATGCAATTGAATTTTGTTAAAGATCATTCAAAAACAACTACAGCAGTACATTGACAAGAAACTGCCAGAGGTTCAAGCTGGATTTAGATGAGAATGTGGAATAAGGGATATCATTGGTGACATCAGATGGAACTAGGCTGAAAGCAGAGAATACCAGAAAGTTGTTTACCTGTGCTTTATTGACTGTGTGGATCACGACAAGTTATAGGCAGCATTGCAGAGAATGAGCATTCCAGAACATTTCATTTGGTTCATGAGGAGTCTGTATACAGACCAGGAGGTAGTCATTCGAACAAAACCACGGGACAATGAATGGTTTAAAATCAGGAAAGGTGTGCACCAGGGTTGTATTCTTTCACTATAGTTAATCAATCTGTACACTGAGCAAATAATCCAAGAAGTTGGATTAGATGAAGAAAAATGTGGTATCAACATTGGAGGAAGACTCATTAACAACCTGAGATATCAGCTGGTAAAACCTTGCTTGCTGAAAGCAAAGACAACGTAAAATACTTACCGATGGAAATCAAAGACCACAGGCTTCAGTATGGATTTGATTTCCTGACTGCTGTTCCCATGAGTGTTGATAGTGGATACAAGCAAAACAAAGTCTTCAACAACTTCAATCTTTTCTCCATTTATCATGAAAACACAATTCCTCACTACTGGACCCAAAAATAACATCATGATAAATGGAGAAAAGATTGAAGTTGTTGAAGACTTTGTTTTGCTTGTATCCACCATCAACACTCATGGAAACAGCAGTCAGGAAATCAAATGACATACTGCATTAGGCAGATCTGCTGCACAAGACCTCTTTAAAGTGCTCAAGTACAAAGACGTCAGTCTGAGGACTAAGGTGCACCTGACCCAAACTGTGTCATTTTCAACAGCCTCATATGCATGTGAAAGTTGGACAATAAATAAGGAAGACCGTAAAATTGATGCATTTAAGCTATGGTATGTGAGAAGAATATTAAAAGTACCATGAGCTATTAGAAGAACAAACAAATCTGTTTTGAAAGAAATATAGCCACAATACTTCTTAGAAGCCAGGATGCTGAGACTTCGTCTCTCATACTTCAGATGTATTATTAGGAGGGATCAGTCCCTGGAGAATAGAAGAATATCAAGTTTGGTAAAGTGGTGGGTCAACAAGATATATTGCCACAATGGCATCAGTAGTGGATTCAAGGTTCATAATGACTGTGAGGATGGGGCAGGACTGGGCAGTATTTCAGTCTGTTGTACACAGGGTCACTATGAGTTGGAGCCAACTCTGTGGTAACTAACAAGATCTACAACAATACCTACAATGAAAGATACATAGATCAATGGAACAGAATTGGAAACGCAGAAATAATGTCAGCCACATATGGTCAGCTGGTACTTGACAAGGGGTCAAAACACAAACGGTGCTGGAAAAACTGGAACTCCATTTGCAGAAGAATGAAATAAGCCCTACATTTCACACCCTATACAAAAATAAACTCAATTGTGTATTAAAGACTTAAATATAAAACTTAGAACTATAACGATCACCAATGAAAATTTAGGGACAAACTGAGGGTTCGCATAAATATATTGCCAAATATTACTAAAAACACACAAACAGTAGAAGGCAAAATGGAATACAGAAGCCTCTGGAAAAACACACACTGACGTGCACAGATTTCACCAAAAGAGAATAAAATAGGAGCCCACAGATTGGGGGATATTTTTTTGCAACGAAATTATTAGCCAAGGGACTAATCTCTAAAATATATAGAAAACTACACCTCTATAAGAAAAGCAAACAAACAAAAAAACAGTTAAAATATGGGCAGAGGACATGGACAGACACTTCATCAAGGAAGACATTCAGGTGGTCAACAAATATATGAAGAGATACTCATGATCATTAGCCATTGTCAGTACTGTGGAGTCGGTTCTGACTCATAGTGACTCTGTACAGGGTTTTGAAAGAGTGTCTAGTGGGTTTGAACCGCCAAACTTGTAGTTAGACAACCAGTGCTTTCCCAACAGCACCACACCAGGACCCCGTTAGAGAGATGCAAATCAAAACAACAATGAGATAACATCTTATACTAGCATTATTTGTTGTTGTTAGCTGCCATCAAGTCTGTACCAACTCATAGTGACCCTATGTACAACAGAATGAAACACTGCCAATCCTGGGCCAACCTCACAATTGTTGCCACACTTGAGCCCATTGAAACTGCCACTTTGCCAATCCATGTCACTGGGGGACTCCCTCTTTTTCTCTGACCCTCTACCTTACCAATTATGCTATCCTTCTCCAGTGACAATACGTCCTAAAAATATGTCTAAAGTATGAGAGATGACGTTTGGCCATCCTGGCCTCCAAGGAGCACTCTGGGTGCACTTCTTCCAACACAGATCTCTTTGTTCTTTTGGCAACCCCATGGCACTTTGAATATTCTCCTCCAACACCATAACCCACATGCATTACTAGCACAGTTTAAAAAGAAGAAGAAAAAAAAGCAGAGAACAACAAATGCTGGCGAGGGTGTAGAGAGACTGGGACTGTCCTGCA